AAGCAAAACATCAGACACTAAATAATGGGACTACTGACTGACACCACTCTCAAGAAAGATACTCCAGTAGAGGGTAAGCAAAACAGGATTTTCAAAGGATGAAGAATGACTTTACCCAATGATTCTGTCCCCAAAAACTGAAGGAAGGTGGAGAAAAAGAGATTGTGACTGCTTATTAAATAGAGTTTCTAGAAAGCAGGATCTGATTACCACTTCCTCTAGTAGTCTTGCTAAGTGGATTCCTGCACACAGGAAAAAGAGGGAAGGTCATCAAACTCAAATAACTTCAAACCAACTCCCAAAGCAAGCCTGGCAAATAATTCACTGCCGGAAGCTGGGGAGCTCTAGGGGATTGGTGCAGCTGGCAGCTCCGGCGAGCCTGCCCCAGCTCTGCAACAGAAATGCAGGACACCCGCTGACATGTGCATTTTGGATAACAACAAGTGGTGTTGCCTGTGAGTATGTGCCTGTTGTTTATCAATTCAAGTTTAACGGGTGTTCTGTATTTTATCTGGCATTCCTACTCCCAACACTTAAAAAAAAAGTGTGCCTAATATAATTTCCCCTAGATACTTCAGCCTTCCTTCCTCTTATATCCCAAAGAGCTGAACTTCTTTCTCTAAAGAAAAAGGTTGCACGTAAAATGATGCAGGGAATTTAAACTTGTTTGATATAAAGAAAATCAGGGTTCCAGGGATGTGAAGTGGATTTTATTTTCCTTGTTGTTCTTCCCTAGTGAAAGAAACGAAAGTAAATTACAGGGCTGAGAATGAAGAGAAACAGGTTCTGATTCTGTGCCTGATCCCCGCTTCCAGTTAGCAGCACCCGCAAGTCCCTTTCCTCTGCCCCCCTCCAAACTCAGATCTGGGGCTTTCACTTGGCAGTTGGTGGTGGAAGAAGAGGTGTAGATATAGAAGGATTTCTGTATGTGTGACCTGCAGGTTGGGAACGAACTATATTTAATATTTAAAAGTGCACATTTATTCAATTAATGTAAGGAGATGTTTTAGCCATTACATCTACATATGTTCCTCTTGTTTTAGTTAAAAATAAAAATGATACATAGATTTGTCCCTGAAGAGAGAGCTAGAGAGAAATGGATGTCAGTCCAGCTATGCCATAGTTCTGAGCGTCAGATTCTTCCCATGTGGACGGCAGACCTGGGGGAAGAGTTCTAAGGTCTCTTCCCATTCTAGGACCCTGATGTGACAATTCCTCAGTGGGCTTTTGTAGGCTGCAGGAATTCTGTAACTCAGAAAACGGAATAAATATTACGACTTGGCTCTCAGCCAAGAGCAAGGTTCAGTTTTTCTGCTTCAGGTCTTACTTTTAGGATTGAGCACTGGACAATTATGGGGGACAGTTAGCTTCTAGAGATGCCTAGATTTGGTTGGATATCAGGAAAGAAAAAAGAAAGGGAACAGTCATTCTCCAGTGGATGGAAATAGGATCACTGGGTAATGTACTCAGAGTAAACATAAACATGTACTCTTCTTACATCTTATCGTGATAGACTCCACTGTTTGTTATGGGAAGCAGGTTATTAGGATGGGTTAGGGAATAATGGACTAGGAGGGGTGACTTCCTTGTTCTGCTGGTGTGTTTGTGTTGGAGCGTCTATATATCATGTAATAGCTGATTTGTATTAACTGCTTGGACTCTCACATAAACTACACAACGGACACACAGTCAATACAGTGCCACAAAATTAAACAATCTGTAACTATGATCATGGGATCAAAAGATATTTTGAGTTCCAATTCTACTACTAACAGGACATACTGCTTTACATAAGTAACTCTATTACGTTTTTTTCCATGTGGAAATCTACACATGAAAACAATGTGTAAGTCTAGATGAAGCAAACGTTTCTTTTAGATGCCATTAGGGTAAATATATACATATATATACCTAAAGCAGTGTATTTGGAATGTGAAAGGAAAGGAGCGACACATAGCAGCAATTCACCGGAGAGTTCCGCTTTATTAGGGAAAGGTGCTGGGTTATATAGGAAGGGGCATGAATTGATTGAGGTGTCACTTCTACGGGGCTGGTGGCTGTTGGCTAGGTGCTGGGATTGGGAGGGGGGCGAGAGGTGATTGGGCTTCAGGTGGCACCGGCGGGAACTGAGGACCCCGAAGAGAAGCCGGAAGTTTGCCATCTTACTGGTAGGGACCCTTCAGAATGGATAATAATAAAGATAAAGGCCAAAGAAAAGAATATCATGACTTGGCTAATTTCGGCTGAGGGACGAAATGGCTCCAGCTTTACTACTGAATAATCATCATAAAGTGAAAAGGACTGAACCTTAGGCCAAACAAACAAACAAACAAAAAAATCTCACCATATTAAATAATAGTGGCATTCATTATTACCAAAGGGGCAGTTATTCAAAGGCAGGCACATCCAAGCCCTTGCTCACCAGCCTCCTTTTAAAAGAAAATTAACCTCTTTTGAGTCATGACACAAGCATATTCACACTCCAAGTGGGAAGGGAGTAAGAAACTAGATTCATAAACTTTCCACTTCTGACTAAGCAGGTTCAGAGAATTGTAAAATTACTTCTTTGGGGGCCATTTCCCAGGTATTAAAAGCCTTCCACACAATCACAGCGCCCACTGGCTTGATATGAGTAATCCCAGCATTCCCAATGCATCCATCAAAAAAGTACATAGATTGCTAACCCATGACTGTCTGTTGGGCAAGTAGTAATTCTTCTCTTACCCACATTTATTATTTTGTACTTGGATTATTTAACTCCAAATAACAAGATCCTTTAGTAGGTGGCTGGCATTGGTAGAGATTCTGTACCTCTTGATTATTTCGTACTATATTCCATGAGTAAGAGAAAACAATGGCTACTTAAATATGGCGAGGCACAGCCAAATACAGTTGAATTGTATAAGCAAAGTTCTAGTGAATCTAAACTTAAAACCTTTGTCTCAAAATTTCACATCTTGCGAGAGTATAGTTCTAATAGCCTTTTAAAAATTTATTGAATTACAAATGAAAGACTTCAAGTTAGAAAAATTGGATTGCCTTTAAAAGTGACATTAATAATAACGAAAAATATTATTATTATTATAAAAATGTTTGGCCTTAAAGCACACTTTTCCTCAAGTAATTTGAAGCATTTAACAATATGCATGACTGCACTTGTTCATGACAGGAAGAGTTATAGATGGTGAAAACTTTAAAGGAACAAAGAGATGTTTGGATTGCTCTAGCTTAGTATCAGTGTTCAAAACGAAAGGGAAGAACTTTGTTTTCCTTTTGAGTCAATATAGATAACTAACCAAGGTAAATTAGTTCCCAAAGCAGATCTAGGGTAGCTCTCTAGCCAGCTTAAACTCACTAGGTAATTGCCAACTTCCCTATGTTCTTTTCCAACTCTACCTGTGCTTACCGTCTGGCTTAGGATAAAAGCATGGAAAAGCCGGAGTAAGCTCGGTTCTCTCCCCTGGAGCTCTGAAAGGGAGAAGAGCGATCCTGGCCTTCTTTTCTCTGTTGGAAGGAGCGTGGATGCCATCATGGAGCTCCTGTAGCTCCTGGCTGCTGTTCTCTGGACTCCTATGTGAGAGAGAAAGAAACTTCTGCCTTGTTTAAGCTATTGATATTTTGAGCTTTTCCTGAGCTTCACTTTAATGGATGCACTTCCATAAGATGGTTTTTGCCTACAATAATATCTGTCACCTCAAGTAGCAGGAAGCCTTGGAAAATACTCTGTTGCAATGCCCTCCCCAGTGTCTCATCTTATTGTGGCCTGTTCTCTAGAAATGCTCCTAAGTTGTACATGCACGAAGACCCTTTGCCTCACTGAATAGCTGTGAGCAGGAAGCCCTCTTGTAAACTGGTTAACAGTCTTACTAAGAGTGAAAAATCTCACTGTATCTCAGTTGCCCCCAAATTCCCCACTGCATGTGCTCCAGTGGGCCGGAAAATGTCAGTCATACAGACTAGAGTTTCAGAGTATATTTCATTTTAAAATTTAAAGCTGAAAAATAAAAATGTCCTTTTCCTTGTTCTCAAGGGTCAAGTAGAACCTTATGATACACAGGGTTGCGTCTGATATCTCATTCATTATGAAAAGGGTTTCCTTGAATCCTTTAGAACCTGTGACTTTGAGCAGAAAAGTGCTGCTATAAAGGTAATTCAGCCAAATAAAAGGAAGATGAGGGGCACCCAGCAAGGCTCTGTGAAACGAGCCTGGGAAGATGTCTGGAGTCACCTGGGCAATGAACTTTTGTGGCCAGAAATCCACCTTTTGTGAGGGGGCTGCACCCAAACTTCACTTCCCATGGCACCAGTGGCTTCTTTCCCTGGCAAGGGGTCTAACACTTACCAGGACACAGCAGGCACGGGCTGGCAGATGATGACCATTAAAAAAACTCACCTTACACAACTGAAGAAAAAAAATCACTAAATTTTGAAAGAAACATTTACTGCAATTACTTTGGGAACAGGTCTGGAAGTTTCTTTATAAACTAAACATACACCTCCCCTATGACCCAGCAATTCCACTCCACTGCCCAAGAGAACTGAAAACATATCTCCACACAAAGCCTTGTGCAAGAATGTGTACAACAGCTTTACCCATAATTCCAAACTGGAAGCAGCCAGGCTCCATCAGTGTGGGACTGGCTACACAACTTGTGGTGTATTCATTCAAGGATACTCTACTAAACAATAAAAAGCAATGAATTACTGATATACTTAATTATATGGATGAAACTCAAAAAACAACTATGCAGGGTGTAGGAAGCCTTGCACATATTGTACAATTCCATTTAAATGAAATTCAAGAATGGGCAAAACTAATCTATGGTGGAACAAAATTAGAAGAGTGGCTGTCTGTGGGGGTGGGAGGCAAGGATTGACTGGGAAGAAGCAGGAGTGAGATGTATTCTGTATCTAAGTTCTGTAATACAGATTTATACAATTGCCAGACTTCACTGAATGTGCTCTTAAGATTTGTGCAATTTGCTGATTTTTTTTTATTGTGGTAAAATATACATAATATAAAGTGTGCCATTTAAATCATTTTTAAGTATATGGTTCAGTGGCATTGAGCATATTCATATTTTTGTTCAGAAATCACCACCCTCTGTCTCCAGAATTTTTTCATCATCCCCAGTTGAAACTCCTTTCTCATTAACAGTGCTTCCCATCACCCTCTCTTGTCAGACCCTGTTACCCGCCATTGCACCCTCTGTCTCTATGATTTTGACACTATTCTAGGTCCTCATGTAAATAGAATCATCCAATATTTTTCCATTTAGGTCTGGCTTATTTCACTTAACATAATATTTGTAAGGTTCATCCATGTTGTGGCATGTATCAGAAATTCATTTCGTTGTAAGACTGAGTATTCCATTGTACTTAAATATCACATTTTGTATATCTATTTATTCATCGATGGACATTTAAGTTGTTTCCATCTTTTGGGTATTGTGAA